TACCTACAGAATTTGCAGACATACGTTATCAAGTTGAGTTAGTGTCCGCAGAGTTCAACGCTTTCTGTATGTCCAATCCAAATGTAAAGTCATTTAGTCTCTAGAACATTTTTGTTAATTTTCTCAAACCATTAAGTGATATTCATGTTAATTATGATCAACTAACCAAGGGTGTCAATTGTCCGTTGATGTATTTGTTAGCAAACTCTGTGACTAGCTCATCAATGTTATAACTAGCGTAGCTAGTTATAACATTGATGACCCGAATATTGGAGTTCAGCTCCTGGAGTAGTGTTTAATAACTCAACATGTACTTGAGCAACTTTCATGCAGTGTCAAAATATAAATTTATATATACCTATGAGAGAGAATGTCTGTGTAGAGTTGGAGGACAGACGCTTGGGGCTAGTCTCAGCCAAATTTGCAGGGATAATGGTCTGGGGTACGGAAAGAACATAGGCTGGTCGGGGGTAAGCCAAGTTAAATTATTTAAAAATATTAGTAATTATTGATTACCCCCAAAACAATTCTCATGGATTAAATTCTGGTCAAGTGTGAAATATTGGTTGAGATGTCCTCAAATTAATATTTAGAGAGACGAATAGGAAGGGAACTATCAGGGGGGGGGGGAAAGCGCCAAGCCATTACGACTATATAGCACTGGGAAGGGGGATCAGGATAAGGATTTTGGGATGGGACAGGGATGTAGGAACGTAAGTGTCCAACCACTTGGACGGTCGGGGATTGAACGCCGACCTGCATGAAGCGAGACCGTCGCTCTACCGTCCTGCCCAAGTGGTTCGACACTTCTGTTCTTGGTCGGGGAGGATTTACTTGGCGCGAATTCTTAAGTGTAGCCTCTGTTGACCCAGCAGTAAATGGGTACCTGGTTGTTCAACGATTGGGCGGGTCGTATTCCAGGGAAAATTAAAATTAAGGATTTGCCTGAAACGCTATGCGTGCTAGTGGCTATACTAGAATGTAAGAACTCTAGTAGTAGTAGTAGTAGTAGTAGGCATCCATCAGTCTCAGGAGACTATGGTGTTGCTCTTTGGTTGTCGGTCTGGAGTGGCCTCACCAGGGCGCAAAGCCAGGGTAGGTTGATTCGGGGGGAGAAGCTGTTACCCAGGCAGCAGGTCATCCCCTTTCCACGGCGCTGAAAGTCTCCAATGGAAAGGCATACACCAATACGATTGGTTCCAGCGCCAATATATTTACATATACAAGAACTCTATGCAAGAGTTCTAACTCTTGTATATGTAAATAAAACCTAATAAAAAATATTGAGAGAAAGGGAAGGAGGCCCGATGGAATGGGGGTAAAGAATGAGATGGGAGAACAAGGGTGGAATGGGTGTAGGGGAAGGGAGAGACAGACTATTCCAGGTACAACGAGGTATCCCTCCTATATATATTTAATATATATAATATTATATATATGTGTGTGTGTGTGTGTGGTATAAGTATAGGAAGGTGGTAAGAACCACAAGCTTCCCAACACCCCGCTACACTCGTGGTTCAGAGGCGCAGATATTTCATCAACTCCCTGACCACGCTGGCAACATGCGGGGCATCGCACTATGTGTGACGCGGGGCTCAAGACACGAAGATTTCCTAAATACCTCTTATCCTTTTCAGTGTGAATTTCACACTAAAATATCGAAGACATTTTATCCCAGTGACTTGGGGACTTGGAAGCGGCTAAACACATTTGAGCAGAAACAAGTTCCGATGTTTCAGAAATGTTAATTTATAATTTGATTATGTTCTTTGATATGAATTGTGAGTTTGAAGCTGAGGAGAGACAGCTGTATATGAAACAATAGTTCGACACCTGCTAGAAATGAGGGTTGCTTCACTCTCACCCAGCCAGCCCTCACCTGACTCATTATCTAAATATAATATAATTTAGCTGAGAAAGGTGTGTGTGTGTGTGTGTGTGTGTGTGTGTGTGTGAGTGTATTTACTATTTTGTATATTTACTATTTGTGTCTGCAGAATCGAGCAATTAACTCTTGAACCTCGCCTTTATACCATTCTTTTTTCCTCTATTTTATCTACTACATATATTTCTCCTTAAAACACACACACACACACACACACACACACACACACACACACACACACACACACACACACACACACACACACACACACATGGAAGGAAGCAGCCCGTATCAGCTGTCTAACTCCCAGGTACCTATTTACTGCTAGGTGAACGAATGAAACATCAAGGTGACTAAAACGCTACCCATTTGTTTCCGCCACGCCGGGAATCGAACTCGGGCCATTAGGACAACGACCCCCGAGCGCTGTCCACTCAGCCGCGAGGTCCCCAACGGGAGCCACACTCCCCCAAAGTGTGTGTGTGTGTGTGTTTTACACGTGCGTGCATGCTTCTATATGAAAACTGAGGCAGGGAACAGAGGATTTTTTACAAGGCCATTCGCAGGTGTCAGGACTCTCCCTCCGTCCACCCAATGGTGTTACATTAGGCCAAAAAATGGTCGTATTAGAAAAGAGGGAAGCGACTTGCGAAAGTGACGTACTGTCCCGTTTTCTGTTTTGGGTCCTCTGGTAGGTTAGGAGAGACCACTTTAAATTGAACGTTTTCGCGACGTTGACAAACCTTAAGAGGACGGGCTTGAGAGATGATGATGAGAGGAAGGTGAGCAGTGAGGGAAGGTGGAGAGGGGATTTTATGAGGTCATTCCCCTTTGGTTGAGGGAGTGAGATGGTTATCCTGTAATCTTGTGGGAAAGATATGTTTTATCTTGCCCTGGTTTTTGTTATCGTTTATGTCTTTCGTGGGTGTGGTCATTTGTGTGGTGAGGCTTTTGTGTAGCGAGGTGTGTGTTTGGTGAGGTGTGTGTGTTTGGTGAGGCGTGTGGTGGGTTGTGCGTGTTAGGTGAGGCGTGTGTTGATATTGTGAGGCGTGTGACGGTGTGGGGTGAGTTACTTGGTATATACCTGGATCATACCTGGTGTGGTTACTGCGAGTACTTTAATGTACTTCAAAAATGCATCAATACGAGGTGTTTATTAGTGTGTGGGTGTAGTAGGGTGTGTGGGTGTAGCAGGGTGTGTGGGTGTAGCAGGGTGTGTGGGTGTAGCAGGGTGAGTGGGTGTAGCAGGGTGTGTGGGTGTAGCAGGGTGTGTGGGTGTAGCAGGGTGTGTGGGTGTAGCAGGGTGTGTGGGTGTAGCAGGGTGTGTGGGTGTAGCAGGGTGTGTGGGTGTAGCAGGGTGTGTAGGTGTAGCAGGGTGTGTGGGTGTAGCAGGGTGTGTGGGTGTAGCAGGGTGTGTGGGTGTAGCAGGGTGTGTGGGTGTAGCAGGGTGTGTGGGTGTAGCAGGGTGTGTGGGTGTAGCAGGGTGAGTGGGTGTAGCAGGGTGAGTGGGTGTAGCAGGGTGTGTTGGTGTAGCAGGGTGTGTGGGTGTAGCAGGGTGAGTGGGTGTAGCAGGGTGAGTGGGTGTAGCAGGGTGTGTGGGTGTAGCAGGGTGTGTGGGTGTAGCAGGGTGTGTGGGTGTAGCAGGGTGTGTGGGTGTAGCAGGGTGAGTGGGTGTAGCAGGGTGTGTGGGTGTAGCAGGGTGTGTGGGTGTAGCAGGGTGAGTGGGTGTAGCAGGGTGTGTGGGTGTAGCAGGGTGTGTGGGTGTAGCAGGGTGTGTGGGTGTAGCAGGGTGTGTGGGTGTAGCAGGGTGAGTGGGTGTAGCAGGGTGAGTGGGTGTAGCAGGGTGTGTGGGTGTAGCAGGGTGTGTGGGTGTAGCAGGGTGTGTGGGTGTAGCAGGGTGTGTGGATGTAGCAGGGTGTGTGGGTGTAGCAGGGTGAGTGGGTGTAGCAGGGTGTGTGGATGTAGCAGGGTGTGTGGGTGTAGCAGGGTGTGTGGGTGTAGCAGGGTGTGTGGGTGTAGCAGGGTGTGTGGGTGTAGCAGGGTGAGTGGGTGTAGCAGGGTGAGTGATGGTGTAGGTACACTAGCGTGTATAGAGTACAATAGTGTTACACAATATTAAGTGTCACCACTTTACATTAACATAGTAAATATGTGAATTCAAATTCCGTCATTATATAAATGTCACTACATATATTTTTCTTCAAAATAGACCGCTTCTCCCTTTAAATATTAAATTCCTTGCAAGATCTTTGTTGCATTAAGTCTTGGGTCGAAACGCTACGCGTGTCTGTGGCTTGGCAAGAATGTGCTGGTTCATCACTAATAAATGTACATTCACAACTCATTTCACCTTCTTGTATATATATACACGAAGGTAGTCATTTTCGCTTCATTTTCCTAGTGTATAAATACGCATTATTATTGTTATAACAATAATATTATTGTTGACGACAGGTGTGTGTGTTAAGGAAGGGAAGACTACGCTTGTATCTCTACTCCATTCACGTACTGAAACGCTTGTATCTCTACTCCATTCGCGTACTGAAACGCTTGTATCTCTACTCCATTCACGTACTGAAACGCTTGTATCTCTACTCCATTCGCGTACTGAAACGCTTGTATCTCTACTCCATTCACGTACTGAAACGCTTGTATCTCTACTCCATTCACGTACTGAAACGCTTGTATCTCTACTCCATTCACGTACTGAAACGCAGCAAGGATCCAAACTTTCCCCTGATCTTCCCTATGTTTTACTCGGTACGAATTCCTTGAAGAGCTTGAGCAACACGTGCGAAATGTTTCCAACCTCTAGTGTGGCAAGGGATCATAGCAACTTTGGCACTCTCTCAAGCGCGTGTCGAATTTACGCGCAGCCGGTGGTCGCTGGGACACACGTACGAACGCGAGAACTCTTGTGAGTATTTGCGGTAGCTGTGTGGGGGTAAGGGGGTGAAGTTTCGATAGTTCAGGCTCAAGCCAAGGCCAACTGCAGGGGTCGGGACGCGGTGTCAGCTGGCCGGGGTAAACAGAGCGACGCGGCGAGGGTGAGACTGGCCAGACCACGAGGCCAGTTGGGCACTGGGGCACTCACAGACACCCGGGGGGCACTCACCTGGGTTACGAGGGGTAGCAGTGTCTTCTCTATTGAGCGAGTCTTCACCTGCGGGTCCATGTCGTTATGTTCCCGAGACGGGCTCGCCATGTTGGCCACACTCGCTAACCCGCGCCACTGAGGGCCCCCGGCGTGCCCTTGCCAGCACCCACCCACCCACACGCACGCACGCACACACATCTTCGCTAGACAGGCGTGGGAGCGCACGCTCGCACACTCACGCATACACCCGCACATACACACACATTGGGGCCTCGCGGCTGAGTGGACAGGGCTCGGGGGTCGTAGTCTTAAGGACTCGGGATCGAATCCCGGCCGAGGCGGAAAGAAATGGGCAGTTTCCTTCACCCTAACACATCTATTCACCTAGCAGTAAATACGTACCTGGGAGTTGGACAGCGGCTACGGGCTGCTTCCTGGGGATGTACGTGTGTGTGTACTCGCCTAGTTGTACTCACCAAACATCATTCAGAAACCTAAATAAAGAGGCATTCAGAGCGCTTTACACTGCCTACGTAAGACTAGTCTTAGAGTATGCAGCCCCATCATGGAGCCCCAACTAAAAAAAAACACGTTAGGAAACTGGAAAGGGTTAAAAAATTTGCGACGAGGTTAGTTCCGGAGTTGCATGGGATGGAATATGAAGAGCGACTGAAGGAACTGAACCTGACGACGATAGAAAAACATGGGACATGGGTGAAAGCTGGAAACTCAGCTGAGTCACAGAGATGTTAGAAAGTTTTCTTTTAGCGTGAGAGTAGTGGGGAAATGGAGGGAACTAAAGGAGCACATTGTGGAAGCAATCACTATTCATAGCTTAAAAACTAAGTATAGTAGAGGAGAAGCACACGAGTCATTGCTTTATACAACCGAAGGCTAGGAAGGCGGGGTCCAGGAGTCAGCGCTCGATCATGCTGAACACAAATAGGTGAGTGCATACACACACACACACACACACACACGCACACGCACACACACACACACACACACACACACGCACACACACACACACACACACACACACACACACACACACTGTTAACAGCCGGAATGCACTAGAAAGTGACGGGGTGGAGGCTGACTCCATACACAGTTTCAAATGTAGATATGATAGAGTCCAGTAGGCTCAGAAATCTGTACACCAGTTGATTGACAATTGAGAGGCGAGACCAAAGTTAAAGCTCAACCCCCGCAAGCACAACTAGGCGAGCACAGAAAGGCAGCAAGCGTGCATGCCATCTACTCCCTCGTGCGCGCTATTGACTGCACAACACCGCTGCCTTCAGTGCTCGGACGCCAAACCGAGCGTGAACACTGAGGCTTATAAATGGTCCAACATGAGCATTATGACGTCACACGCCTCGTGCACGAAATACAACATTTGTGTCTGCTTTTACTCCTGAGGTTTGGTCAGGATTAGCTAGATTGGATTTAGGATTGGTTAGGTTGGGATAGGTTTGGATTGGCTAAGGTAGGTTGGATTGGGTTGGGTTAGAATGGACTGGAATGGGTTCGGTTGGGTATGACTGGGCTGGGTTATGTTAATATTGGTTAGGGTGGGATAGGTTTGGATTAGCTAAGGTTGGATTGGGTTAGAATGGACTGGAGTGGGTTCGGTTGGGCATGACTGGGCTGGGTTATGTTAGGTTAGAGTTGTTTATAGCGTAGTGATGACGTAGTAGATTCTTCTCTCAGGTCTTTGACCCTACTCGCCTGAAGTGATGATTGATGAAGAATTAAGCCACCCAAAAGGTGGCACGGGCATGAATAGCCCGGAAGTGGTGGCCCTTTTGAGCCATTACCAGTATCGAGAGCTGATACTGGAGATCTGTGGAGGGGGATTCGCACCTCCACAGCCAGCAGATATACCACGCCTACGGCCAATTCAATATTCTTGCAAACCAAACCTCAAACTTAAATAAAGTCATTAACAAAAATACAGTAAACAGTACACAAATACCACATAACTAGCCAGTATTGTTTTTGAACCGGAGTGGAGAACCCCTTTCTAAATTCAAAAATGTTGATCTTCCATTCAAGGGTTACAGAAAGCATAAGAATAGTAAGAATTCTCAGTAATTCTTATTCTGAGTAAGAATTCTTATTCTCGGTAAGAATTCTTATTCTCAGTAAGAATTCTTATTCTCAGTAAGAATTCTTACTGAGAATGTAAGAATTCTTATTCTCAGTAAGAATAAGTGGGTGTTGATTGACATTGAATTCATTTTTCTTATTCATTTTATATATTACAATTTTTCAAGGATTACATAACTATTATTTGTACAGCATTGCAATTGACAATTAGAGAAGTCATTTAGATAACACTCTGCGTGATATTTCATTAGATATTACTAATCTGCTTCAATAAAATTATGACATTTATTGACATAGATTAATGTTTGTTTACATTTTTTCTTCTACTTAAAACAAAATATGTATTTAACGTGCGTTGTAATTAGTAATAAAGATGTGTGTCCCTTATGTGTAATGTTATTTATTTATATACAAGAAGGTACATTGGGGATTAACAGAGAACAGAGAAATTGAGTTGATTTTACATTCTTGTAAAGCACGCATAGCGTTTCGGGCAAGTTAGTTTAGATCTACCTCAAAGGAGTTACGGTGTCACAGGGGTGTATAATGCTTCAAGATGGAGAAGTGACGACGTTTCGGTCCGTCCTGGACCATTTTATCAAGTTGTGTGCTTGATATTGGTCCAGGGCGGACCCGAAACGTCGTCGTTTCTCCTTCTGAGTTGTGGGTTGGTCATCATTTCTTCAGCTTATTGTGACTCGTCCTCTGCATGTCATGGTTTAGTGTGTGTGTGTGTGTGTGTGTGTGTGTGTGTGTGTGTGTGTGGTCTGGCCCTTGTCCACACACTTTGCGTTCCACGTGATCTACATCACTATACAAGCTGAACTGCCAGAGATACTTGTAGTCTAGTCGTATTCAATATAGTAGGGATTCTGCTGCAGTCTTGGGTGACTATGGAGTTGCGCTCTGCCTTGGCTGGAGTGTTCTCCAGTATATGTCGATATGTATTCCAATACATATCGAATATGTATTCGATATATAACACCAGCAATGTTGCTGTGTAGCTTCATATAGGTGTGCTTTATTTTACACATTTTCTTGTAATAGACTAACATTGATAAATGTTGTATCCAATCATCAATTCATCTGATAGATATTTTCTTAATACTTAGACTTTAATTTGATAGCTAAATAATATAATTTTTTAATCCAAACTTAAATAATCAATACATAAATGAGCATTAATAATAAAATGATCTGAAAAAATCTATAAACGAGGGAATCAGCGTTTGTTGGCCGCTAATTCCTTTAATAAATAAACGTATTTATGCCTGGTTTCAGTGACAATTATATTGCATTCTGATTTTAAGCTATTTAGAGCTAGCAATAATTAATCATAGTTGGATATATTTAAGCTATAAATAGCAGTGTTTTCCTTACGAGAGTAACAAGAATAACGGTTCAATTTGTATAATGCATTCTCAGTTGCTGGTTCCTAGACTTTATGATTCATCCGGCTGATAGAACTATTTGTGTGTGCAATCTGCATGCTGCTGCTTTCCGTTTGTAGATTGCGTATTTAGAAGACTTAAGTAGAGAATGAAGAACGCTTAACAGTTAGTTGAATATATCGCGTGTGATTAGTTTCTTAAGGGACAGATAAATATAGTGATGTCAAAATTACATCTATCAGGACGCCGGGATGAGCTGTGGTTTTCTACGAATATTTGGTATAATCTAAATAAATGAATGTAAGTGGTTGGTCACTGAATACAAAAATAATCAGTCGCTTCTTTCATCATACATGCGTTAAAATTATTTTGTTATAAAATTTTCCTTTCAACTGAAAAAGCTTTAATTCTGTCCTGTGTGACAGTGAATACCAGCATTATCCTCACGTTAATAGGACAATAAGACATGAGATTAGACAAAATTGTAATTAAATTTTGTCAATAAAGATGTTAATAATAATAAGTTCTGTTATATGCTCGTTCTCTGAAAGTTTAGCTTGAATCCTAAGGGTCTCGTAATTCTTACAATCATTCAAAGCCTTGATTGTTACTGGGCAGCTAAGTCCATTTGTTAGGGGAATCATTGTACAGTTCTTGAGTGTATCATTTTGATTACTATTTTACTGTACCAAGCTGGTGTGACACCATTATATGTTTCGTGATTCAGGAGTTCCTGGGACATTACAGTAGTTCTGTTTTATAGTGGCCAGAATTGAACAGTACCATTCTAATGGGAGCCAAACAAGGACAAGGTAAAGTTGAACAATAACAGAAGTTTTATTAATATCAGTTCTAGATATGAATTCCAGTATCCTAATTGTCTTATTTTAAACATTTATACATAATTTTGTCTTAAGATTCCTACTAATAATGGCTCTTAGATCCTTTTTTCTCATATTTAGCAATTGCTACGTTAAGCATATATCCTGTATATTAACATCACCAGAATCCTACATTTGTCACACTTAAACTGCATATGCCAATCTTTCGTCCAATCCACAATGAACAAGAGATTATACACGAGAAGGTCGATTATGCGAAGGAAAATGAATGATCACTCCCCCTGTACTGAAATGGAATTGAATATGTTAAATGACAGTATGTGTACGAAATAAGGGATGAGGAACTGTGTTTGGCTTCTGGGCTCGTGTGAGTTTAGCGAACTCAAGTTATCCCAACGAACCCAAAGGGAAATAGCGAAGGATGCTGGAGTGAAAGGTTGGGCAGCAGGCGAAGATGATGATGTGTGGGGAGGCGCTGCTGATCTACAGCTGCTGGAAGCAGGAGGCGCAGCAGACGGTGCGGTAGTAGGAGTAGCGACAGAGACGGGCCTGCTGGACCAACACGCAGTTCTTGAAGCGGTCCACACAACTCCTGTCTGAGAAGAAAGTCAAGGAGAATGAATGTAAAGAAGTCATTAATGAATATCAATAAGTAGTTGGGGAAACAAAATTTTACCTGAATTTACCTGAGGGGCCACTAATACTAGTGGACTCGACGAGGGGCAGGAAGCCGGTGGCTTGTCAAAGGTCCCCCATTTGGCCTGATGATATTTTGCAGTTGTATTTTAAAACCAGAGTTTTGGCATTTATGACTTCGGCGGGTAGGCTGTTCCATGGATTTATTAGAAAATGAACCAATATTTTAAGAAATTAGGCAGTTTTTTTTGGGCAGTAGTGAAGAAGGGCATAAAAATAATAAAGAAAACTCGTACGAAATAAACATGAATGTTAAATCAGAAAAAAATATTTATAAGAGAGTTGAAAGAATACTTTAATATTGTGACGGGTGAAGTGCTAAGGTGCAGATGTTACCGTGATTGATTTTACTGGTTTCTGAAGAGTGCAAGAAAGAATATAATAAGACTGAACAGAAAGAATATTCGGTCCAGGACGGACCGAAACGTCATCGTCCCTTCACCTTCTAGTGTGTGGTCTGGTCAAGAATATCCCCCCACATATAAATATTGACCAGATAAGTACATCAACGTAGGAGCTGCAGACTTCTGCCTGAAGCGCCATGCGTGTTAGTGGCTTTGCAAGAATGTAAAACATCAATGCTATGTACTCCCATATTCCCAATGTACCTTCTTGTATATAAATAAATAAACTTGAGAAAGTTACAGGTATTGATGATGCCATAGAGTCGGGTTCGTTCTCGACTCACAATCGAGAATTCCGGGTTCGAATCCCGGACGGGACAAGAAATGGTTGGGTGCATTTCCTGTCACCTAATGCACCTGTCCATCTAGCAGTAAGTCAAGCTTGAGAGTAAGTCAGCATGTTATAGGGTTGCATCCTTGGAAGAGTCAGTAATTCGACCTGGGGGGGGGGGTGGGGAAAGGGTCCTCGATATAAGCCTAACATATATTGTATGTGTAAACTGGCTGTCTGTGCCCCGACACAATGAATTATTATTATATAAGCTTCTGAAATTTGGATGAAGAGTTTAGCCCTAATTTTACGTTTTCTTTTTCTTGTTGGAATCATAGAAAACACAAAATATATATGTATGACTAAAATAAAATGCAAATAATAGTCAAACAATATTTTGCAGAAATATTTTTTGGAAGCAATCATGCCACATACTAACAAAATCTTCTGATAAATAAACTAGTAGGTTTATTTTCTTATTAGGTAGTAATAGCTGGAGAGATCTAAAATCTAAGTTATTCTAGCTGCACGCTAAGAATTACGTGAAAAGGAACACCTGAACAGCAGATATTTAACAACTTGGCAAGTGTTAGTAGAATAACGAATGAAAATGTCATGGAAATATATAAATTGCTAATGTTAATAATCTACAAGATTGAGCAGAATGCTAAGAGGTTTAGTCATGTTGAATGAATGGCTCAAGACAGACTGAAGAAGACATTGTATTCAACTGAATTTCAGGGCAAGAGGAGAGGAGGATTTAAGATAATAGGCAAGCATGATGAATAGGGAAGAGGTACAATATGAACATTGCACAGGATGTGGCAGGATACAATGCCGGGTAGCACCAGTTTATATCATTCATTGTGTCGGGGGACAGGAAGCTAGAGTGTATTCATACACGTTTGACTTTAATCGAGGTTTTTATTGATAATTAATTTGTGCACTTAGTCGTATGAGGTGGCGAAGTGCTGATGTATATGACTTACTGGAATGTGATGGTTCTCTGTCATGTGCCAGATATGGTGTATATATAGACTGGTTGAATTGTTTAATATCTTAAAACATTTATTCCAATGCGTTTTTGTTTATTTTGATGAGTAAGGTGAGGGAGGGATGAGTATGCCTCCAACTGTTTAGGTGAGAGGATAGTTGACTAGACCACACACTAGAAGGTGAAGGGACGACGACGTTTCGGTCCATCCTGGACCATTCTCAAGTCGACTGTGACTTGATTGTAACACAATCGACTTGAGAATGGTCCAGGACGGACCGAAACGTCGTCGTCCCTTCACCTTCTAGTGTGTAGTCTGGTCAACATTCTTCAGCCACGTTATTGTGACTCATCGCCTGCGCGTGGGAGGATAGATTATGATGATTTATTTATTTCTAGATTTTTAATCTAAGGGTAGGATTGTGTAGCTATTGCGACCTTACCACTCGGAGCATTACAAGGCTGCTCCACACAGTTGCGGGTGGTGGGCGGCTTCTCCTCCAGGTTACAGCGGGTGGATGGGTGCTGGTGGTGGTCCAGGCACTGAACGGACCGGGTGCGACTCCCACGTCCACATGTACGGGAACACTGCGAACGGTGAAAGTTTTAGTGACCATTGGCTGTTGTTGCTGTTATAGATTCAGCTACTCAGAACAAGTTCCAAGTCGCACGGGCTATGGTGAGCGCGTAACTTACCTGGCACAGGAGCGGGGCAAGTAGCACGGGCTATGGTGAGCGCGTAACTTACCTGGCATAGGAGCGGGGCAAGTAGCACGGGCTATGGTGAGCGCGTAACTTACCTGGCACAGGAGCGGGGCAAGTAGCACGGGCTATGGTGAGCGCGTAACTTACCTGGCACAGGAGCGGGACAAGTAGCACGGGCTATGGTGAGCCCGTAACTTACCTGGCACAGGAGCGGGACAAGTAGTACGGGCTATGGTGAGCCTCGTGGATGGGAGATGTGTGTGTACCATTAGCAACCACGTCCCAATATAAGGTGTCCCAGGAAGGTGTTCCCTCAAGGTGACCATTTTGGTCTTGTGATAAATGTGTGTTTGAACGAAGCTGGGTGTAGGGAAGGTCAAAGGAACTATCAGGAGAAAGCGTTGTTGTTGAAATATTGAAACATAACATATTGAAATGACATATTGAAATGAAACATAAGAAATATTGAGAAAATTCGTGTTAGAATTATTAATCTTACCTTTTCGGTCATATTTAACAACACACAATATATTTATTTATTTATTTATATACAAGAAGGTACATTGGGTTTGTGAGAATACATAGCATAGTATTTACAATCTTGTAAATAATAAATAAATAAATAAATATTTATTTAGGTAAGGTACATACATACAAGAGATTTTACAAAGTCTGTTGGATTAATAGATAGAATGATATAACCATATATATCCATATATATATGGATTAAATAATATAACTAACCTGAGACCAGTCGGTGTAGTACCAGTGTGGGGGGCACGGGTCGGGGTTACAGACGAGAGTGTCATTAGGGCGGATCTCGGAGTTACACTCAATGTCGAGTGTGGCCCGGAAGGTCCCCCTCAGGAACACCACGCACACAACCTCCCGCGACTTTGTTCCGTTCCCGCACTCTTCCGAACACTGTACCACGCAAGCACAGATAGGTGAGGACAAGTGAGTACACACGTTCAGAAATAACTTGTTTAATTATTGATCTGAAAATTTGTGTGATCATAAGGGAAAAATTATTCTGAAATGATCGATTACAGAAACTTATGTTTCACTACTAAACAAAATATTAATGTTAACTCTGATCAGAAATAAAATTAAACTTATAAAATATACTTAGCTAATACAAATTTCAATGTAAAGAAGGAAGAAAATAATACTTTTGAATTCCAGAAACAAAATAAAAGATTGATGATTGATAGAATCTGGTAACATAATTGACATATACGGGATATTCATCCCCGTGCCATCTTTTGGCAGGCTTAATCTTCATCAATCAATTAGTAATTGACAGAATCGATTGGTTGTCTTAACCGTAGGCCTAGACGCATATATATATATATATATATATATATATATATATATATATATATATATATATATATATATATATATATATATATATATATATATATATATATATATATATATATATATATATATATATATATATATATATATATATATATATATATATATATATATATATATATATATATATATATGCGAACAAGCCTGAATGTTCCCCAGGACTATATGCAACTGAAAACTCACACCCCAGAAGTGACTCGAACCCATACTGCCAGGAGCACTCTGCAACTGGTGTACAAGACACCTTAACCAGTTGCATGTATGCCTGGGGACCGTTCAGGCTTGTTCGCATATATGAATAAGTTTGGCTGGATATAAATAGAAACTGCCTCGTATAGACAAGCGGCCTCGTATAGACCTCCAGAAAGTCTCGTGTATACCTACCGGGGTCCAGGGCCCCGTGAACCAGGCAGCAGCGCAGGCGTCGGCTCGAGGACAGGCCCGAGTCTCCGGAGGTCTGGCCTCCAGGTCACACTCCCCCTCCACCGAGTTGACTCCAGGAGAACACCAGACGCGCCGTCGCTGTACTCCGTGCTCACACCCGCCCACACACTGTAACACCACCACAACAACAACAACACTATCGTTATCACTCACAACTACGGTAAACATATCGTAGTTACCCAACGCTGTCATACTCCATGAGTAGCATACACATAACTGTATCAATACGCATTATGACTAGTCATGACTATAGCGTATACATCATAACTAGTCGTAACTATAGCGTATACATCATAACTAGTCGTAACTATAGTGTATACATCATAACTAGTCGTAACTATAGCGTATACATCATAACTAGTCGTAACTATAGCGTATACATCATAACTAGTCGTAACTATAGCGTATACATCATAACTAGTCGTAACTATAGTGTATACATCATAACTTGTCGTAACTATAGCGTATACATCATAACTAGTCGTAACTATAGCGTATACATCATAACTAGTCGTAACTATAGCGTATACATCATAACTAGTCGTAACTATAGCGTACACATCATAACTATAGTGTATACATCATAACTAGTCATAACTATAGCGTATACATCATAACTAGTCATAACTATAGCATACACATCATAACTACATATAACTATATCATTCACATCATAACTGTACCATACACATCATAACTAGACATAACTATAACATTCACATAGCTACGCACAATTCAGCGTATACATAATTAAATCATACGTATAAACACACATTCACACGTAGTGTCCCATAATTACACCTCTCAAGTATTAAACACGCATCAGGGTAGGATGTAGGTTCCTACGTAGGACTCTCGGACGTATGTTCGAATCCTCGTCACGGCCCTTGTGGATTTGTTCCCATAATGGTGTTGCATCAACATTACTCTAGCTCTGACGGGAAATATGAAACATGTAATATTATATAGTTATCTTCGTCAGCAGCATCTCCTACTGTGCACTGAAAAACAAAAATCAACAATCCAATCTAAATTAACATTCTCTCGCTATGGTGCATTCGATTCAAATCTCAGAAACTCCTAAACAATTATTTTCCCATTTGTACAGGTGGGTTGGGAGTTAATGACCACCCCACTGGGTAAAAAAAATTTATAAAAGTAGATCTATAGTGTATTCAATTTCGTATGTTATTATTTTTTAATCTCGTGGCTAAACAAAACTGAAAGGCATTTTATATATTTGTGTTGTGACAATGAAAGATTTTTATTTCTGTTTTTGTCTCAAGAATGTTCCATTTAGTCGTCCTGATCTGTACTGACAACCCATTAGACCTCATATGTCTGTATATATGTGTACAAGATGAATATGCACCTCTTCCGTCCAGTCGGTGTAGAACCAAGTGTGATGGATGCAGGTGTGGGCGTGGCAGAGCTCCTGCTTGGGGGGCTTCTCCTGTACGTTACACTGGTCGTCAGACACCCGACGGCCCTCCGCCCGACACGTCACCACCCGGGTCTTCAGTCCCGTCCCACACTCCACCGAACACTGCCCAGCGCCACCAGGGGTCAGGTCAAGTTGGAGAATTTAATACACAAATCGTTATCTCAATGACCAAGTTGACTATTATATAATATATACAATTAACATGGAACAAATTTCATGATTACAGTACTGTATTTACAACAGTATTTTTTGGTTTATGTACTGAAGAACTGTAGCGGGTACTGCTTAAGACAAACGATACATTTGTGCAAACTTCTAGTTTGAAGTCTGAAGGGCGATTTGTTGCAATATAATTTAGAGCCAAGGCAAATGATAGAAGCAGATATCTAGTGGTATTTACTACTAAATAGACTGTAATGTTTGGCTAAGGGATTCAGTCGTAATAATCAATCATTGCTGATCCCAGAAATTTACATCTAACTCCAAGGAATCTATTTACTGCTAGGTAGACAAAGAAATCAAGTGGAAGGAAATGTGTCCAAACGTCTCGATCTATACTGGAAGTGGACGCAGGTCCAATGATTGAGAGCCGTCACTGTCTATGTTTGATAAACACTTGTCTCTAGTCAAAACTGAAACGTTCTCTCCTGTACAAATATGGAACAATTTCTAAGTACTGAAACTGAAATTTGAAGGGTCTTGTAGAGCAGAGGTGAGCGCATTCGGATTCCCAGTACTGGATTCCGATGTAGGAGAGAAGCGTTTGGACAATGTTCTCTTTTATCAGTTGCATTTCTCACCCTAGCAGTAAATAGGATCCGAGGAAGGTAGAGACTTGTGGGTTGCCTCCTGGGAAAGGTCAGTAGGTTGCCAAGGGAAGACCATGATAAACCAAGGCATTTAAATGAACCAGGTATTGTATTATCTCTAACTCCGTGTGAGGTTTCCTCGTGTCTTTTATCACTACTGTATACACTTTTTTCAGTTAATTAAATATGAATTACTTGTAAAAATAATGTATTTGTTATAAGATTGGCATTGTCAATCGTTATTAAAAAGACGAGCATGGAATACAAGAGTACAGACATACGTTACTCTAGAACGTAAAAAGCCATGGAAAGAAACAAAAGCTACAGCAACATGACTATCGAAGGGAGGAGGGAAAAGGAGCACTAAATTAACGAAGTCTATGTTCAAAATTTAAGTTTTTTCTAAAAAATAATCTAATAGAAAACCTAACTACTGTATATTTAGGGAGTAACTAAAGTATTCCAACATGACGTACTTGTGTCCAGGCAGTGACTTCCCATCGTGAGCAAGGAGCGAGGGTGCATGGTTGCGTGAGGGGCACCATGGTGGTCCGTGAAGGGGGTGGGCATGTGGAAGGAGGTACAGCACGGACTAGAGTGGGTGTAACCTCCTGCACACACGCCCACGTCCTGGTCATGAGCCCAGTGCCGCAGGTGGCAGAGCATTGCGACCACTCTCCCAGCTGCCATCTGAGACGAACACAACAGTCGTCAAGCGCCTCGTACAGAAATAACAATTAAAATCCACATCGCAATAATTATTGGTGAACAAGCTTTTTGGGGCTGTCGGAACGAGATAAAATAGTAAAGGCGGTGAATGAGAGAAAGCTAGTCTTCCATTATGGAGAGAGCGAGCGAGAGAGAGAGAGGTCCTGTGGGACGTAAATTCATATATATTTTAATTCATGCAAGAAGTTTCAACAGGGTCCGTAAGCAGAGTTCAGGACTGGTAAGTGTGGCTGTATTCAGAATGCTTCTTACTAATTACTCTCGTCATTCTAGCTCACATGAGAACTATCTTTTCGTGTATGAAAAAAGATATTGTTAATATCTGCAGCATTTTTATGTGAATGAATCATTTACAGTGACAATTTATTTATATTTTGACGCCCAAGTTGTTCGGGGCGTCACCCTTCTTAAAAAGACGAGGGCTGATTACAGACGTACTAACCCGGGTTACAATAGGCAAACACAGATTACAAGAGCGCTGGCATGGGTTACAAAGGACTGGCATTGGATACAAAAAAAGAGACCGTTAATTACGTGGGTGAGCAGGGACGGGGGTTACAGTGAACGGTTTGTGGGGGAGGCTTGGGTGCCTGGCACATCTCCTCTTGCATGACCGCGCCGCCCACTCCTGTGCAAATGTACACCGTCTGCTGCTGCCCTGGGGAAGACGAGGGCCCGCGAGGGACCACACACTGTCAGACAAGGCGGCCAGGTGATGCTGTCCATCCATCATCCCTCTTTCCAATCTCCTATAGGCAACCGGTTCATTCATATCCGCGTGAGACATACTAACCCCTTCATTCATATTCGCCAGTCATGACTTATAACTGAACTTCAATTCATTCACCCGTGGAAAGTCATAATATATATTACAATACACTGACCTCCCCCGCACGTCCGGGAACAGGGGGTGAACTTCCACACTTTCCAAGTGGGTGTGGTCGACCTGGCGGCGTCAGGAGCAGCCGGAAGCCCTACATTATTGTCCACGACGTAGCCAACGCTCTGAGTGGCTGGCGGAAGACCCAAGCGGTTGTCGAGGGCGGCGGCGGAAGAGGAAAAATCTCCCCCTACCAGGCCGCCCTCGCTGTTGGTAGAGGCCAGGTAGGCCGGTAGCACATTGTGAAGGGGGGAGTGGCCTCGCTGGGGATGGCCACGCCCACGGCCCCGCCCACGCCCTTGTGGAGGTGGGGGGTACGGAGGGCCCATCGGATGCCAATACTCGTATCGCACGCCCTGATTGGTAGACTGGTAGATTATCTGTTGAATTAAGTTAATCATTAACACCTGTGATACAATTAATCATATTTTTGTCTTTTGAAGTTACTTTGGTAAATCTGTAACGTACATTGTGCAATCATTACAGCACTTAGCTAATTTAGTAATGTTATTTTTGCAAGATGACCAGATGATTGTATTCTGCAGGAACTGATGAATGTATATTGTATTACCAAATGTATTTAAACTGTATGACTCGCCTACATCCTTTCATTATCACCACCAACACCTCCATTTCATCTTTACTATTAGTACATCACCAGCATTGCATTATCACCACTAGTACGTCAACATCACCACTACATTAGCATCACCATCTTTTCGTTACCAGCTCCAACAGGAACATCTCAACATCCAGTCACCAGCACACACATCATCATCTCACCAATCCATCTTTAGCGCCTGCAGCATCTCACCATCCAATCTCTAACACTCATCACTAGCATCTACATACAATCTCACCATCCTCATCCCCATCACTAGCACCCACATGCCATCTCGCCATCCCATCACTAGCAAGCACAGGCTACCTCACCATCCCGCATCACAAAGCACCAAGAACTTCATCTTACCATAATGTCAATAGCCTTCGAGAGGGGACCAGGAGACTGGATCACCTCCCCCACGTCAGAGGGCGTGTTGGGCCTGGTGTAGTAGAAGCCGGTACCGGCCCCCATGTACCGGCCGGGAGGTACCACGGCCCAGTTACCATTAATGATGTACCCGTGGTCCGTCCTCACCGCTGCCAGAGAGAGAGCAAAAAGAAAGTTGAGCGAGTGCTTTAGAAACGTAGATAATACGACGAAGAGATCCACCTGGTCATGTGGGTAACTAACTGAAACGCTAATAATTAGCTGGTTTCCAATCTTCAGAGCGAGAGGTTTGCCCGACTCCTTCTAATCAAACTCGAACATTTACAAAAAAAAAAAAAAAAATTGCACAATAATCTTAAGTGAACTTCATTGCTTTCAATCACTTAATTCCTGCTTGCATTCAGTTCATCAAGGCATAGTTATGACACACATGTGTCTAAATAAGATGCAATAAAAAATTATGTGGATTCCATTCCATATTGGCTATCTAATTTATGATACGTCTTATGAGTTTGCCAAGAGCATGTATGTAGGAGGAGCCAGATATGGACGGGTCAGCCAGTAACGCCAACACCTGGACGTTACTGGTGTTACATTTATATAGAAGTAACTCTGAGAGCTCTGAGAGAGCTCTCTGAGAGCTTACACCACCTAGTGACGCAGATCTAATCAACTCTCAATTTTATCAGTAAATTGATCAAGTACCAAACGTCCCTATGATATTAAATCGAAAGGGAAGAGTAGGGGAGAGGGAAATCAAATAATTTAAAGATAAATCTATCACAAATGTTCAGGAAATACCCGAAGTTTTTCATGAAGGTTGATATATTGGCCAAAAACATAGGCAGGTATCCTAAGCTAGCGATGAGTCACAATAACGTGGCTAAAGTATGTTGACCAGACCACACACTAGATGGTGAAGGGACGACGACATTTCGGTCCGTCCTGGACAATCGACTTGAGAATGGTCCAGGACGGACCGAAACGTCGTCGTCCCTTCACCTTCTAGTGTGTGGTCTGGTCTATATCCTAAGCTAGCCTACTGTATATAGTACAAATACTCTCTATAAGCTAGCGTGCCTTGCATATTTCTTATCTGTTAACCACAGAACTTCATTAACATTAATTTCTCTACTGGGTACAGACTACTGCTCAAGTAACCTTATCAGAAATGCGAGGTACAGGAAAACTTTAACTACCTCACCACAAATACATTTTCTTTTACTTTGAAAAGTATCGGGGTTCAGATCTTGAACGTTTTATGAATATGGAGTCGACAATAAACTATAAAGCCCGTGATGACAAGAAAATAAGACAGCCCTCATTGCTGAAGCTTCCGAAGAGACCTGACCCCAGGAGACACTGACCCCAAGAGGCACTGACCCCAGGAGGTACTATAAACACAAGAGGCATTGACCCCAGGAGACACTAACCACAAGAGGCACTGACCCCCACGACTGACTAACCCGACGAGGCACTGACCCCCCAGAGGCACTAACCACAAGACACTGACCCCTGGAGGCACTAACCACAAGAGGCCCTGACCCCCAAAGGCACTAACCACAAGAGGCCCTGACCCCCAAGACTGACTAACCCGACGAAGCACTGACCCAGGTAGTTGGAGGAGCCACTGAGCTCGGTGACGGAGAGGTTGCAGGCATGGGGCGGCACTCTAGCGATGAGGTTATACCCGACGGGTAGTGTAGGGCGGGTGAAGAGCCCAGTCACCTTCCTGCAGGGGGTCGACAGGCACGACAAGCATTCCTCCGCCACCCCCACGCCCACGCACGCCCACGCCACCTGCAAAGACACATGGTCACTAATGGTCAGGATCAGCACAATGGGTCCTTGTGTTTTTATCAGGGGAAACATTAGTGAGCAGACAGTGAGCAGACAGTGAGCAGATCTGGCAGGGGTCAGAGGAAGCCCAGCACACAAGCGTTATAATCTTTGCGAGCTTGTTAATACACTGAAGCTGAGACACAGCTGCTTATCAGTTTCTAAGAGCTATAGAGTGGTCCATTTGTTAAAACTGTGGCTTAAATGAAGCTTAAATGCAAATAAATTTATGTTTGATATGTTTGATATGTTGGTTTTGATATATTTTGATGAGTCACATTAACATTCTAGACGTATGCAGAGCAGAGATGATGGGTCGTAGTTAATATTAGGCTTTCTCTATTATACTCGAAGTTATTTTTAATATATAAATTGTATCTATATAAACTCTTTGGCCGGCCTCATGTGAGTCTTCCTGCGATATATTTGCACTGATCGACCTCACGAGTATGATGATGTCGAGTATGTTTCAAAGAATTGTACTGTCGAGTATTCTCGAGAGTCGTAATTCTAATGGCCCGGGTTCGATTCCAGGCCGAGGCGGAAACAAATGGGCAGAGTTTTTCTCACCCTCTGTTCACCTAGCAGTAAATAGGTACCTGGGAGTTAGACAGCTGTTACGGGCTGCTTCCTGGGGATGTGTGTGTGTGTTAGAGATAAATATATGTAGTAGATATAATGGAGTAAAAATAGATTGGTTAGAAAAGCGGGGTCCAAGAGCTAATAGCTCGATTCTGCAGATACAAAGAGTAAATACAAATAGTTAATACACAATCACACTCACGCCACAAAGGCAAATTCTTACAATTTACATCAGAGAAACTTCAGTCCCTACGTGAGTCTCTCTGTACACACAACTATTCAACTTATAAAACGCCAATTATAATTACTAAAATGATTCGTCCAATGATTATTACGAAGGCAATAAATAAAAGAATTAGACCTGACTGGGTTCCCTCCGGACACAATTATACCTTCTTCAGTCGAAAAAAACTTCGGTCATATATGTACACCCGCATTAACAATTCTCAAGAAAAAATCAAGAAATTTTAGGGAGATTTCTTTGGCTGTTTGTTGATCATATCAGAGCACAGATAATTGTTATAATTTTCCATTTTTTTTACATGTTTCTAAACTAATATCAAGAAAACTTCATGTCTATGTTTTCACCACACTCGGTGGTGAAAACAAAATAGAATTAACGTTATCAGCACTTGATTAACATAGAATTAACGTTATCTTTGCTAAATCAACATAGTCAGCGTTAATTCAATCTTCCATGTTTTCTTTGATTAGGTAATGGGAATTGAAGAGAAAAGGGGAAACTAATCTAGTTCTTATTTTGGTCAACTAAAAGACAAGAGATGTATGAAAATAGTGAGGAGAACGAAGAGGAGAAGCGAGTGATGGAGGCGTGACAGTGGCGAGATTGTGGGAGTGATTGTGGGAATGGGAGGGGAGGGGGTAGAGAGGGAATGGGGTTAGGAGAGGGGGGAGGTGGAGGAGGAAGAGGTGCAGGAAATACCAAGCCAAAAATAGAGCAACTATCCTTGTTTGTCAAACAGGACTGTTCAAAGCTCACATGATCTGATGTTCGCTGCTATTGTCCTTTGTCACGTGTCCTGTTTGTTGACCTCTACCGTTGTTCTGGGTCACGTGTCCTGTTTGTTGACCTCTACTGTTGTCCTGGGTCACGTGTCCTGTTGACCTCTACTGTTGTCCTTGGTCATGTGTCCTGTTTGTTGACCTATACTGTTGTCCTGGGTCATGTGTCCTGTTTGTTGACATCTACCGTTGTCCTGGGTCATGTGTCCTGTTTGTTGACCTCTTCTGTTGTCCTGGGTCACGTGTCCTGTTTGTTGACCTCTTCTGTTGTCCTGGGTCACGTGTCCTGTTTGTTGACCTCTTCTGTTGTCCTGGGTCACGTGTCCTGTTTGTTGACCTCTTCTGTTGTCCTTGGTCACGCCTCCTGTTTGTTGACCTCTACCGTTGTCCTGGGTCACGTGTCCTGTTTGTTGACCTCTACTGTTGTCCTGGGTCACGCCTCCTGTTTGTTGACCTCTTCTGTTGTCCTGGGTCACGTGTCCTGTTTGTTGACCTCTTCTGTTGTCCTGGGTCACGTGTCCTGTTTGTTGACCTCTTCTGTTGTCCTTGGTCACGCCTCCTGTTTGTTGACCTCTTCTGTTGTCCTGGGTCACGTGTCCTGTTTGTTGACCTCTTCTGTTGTCCTGGGTCACGTGTCCTGTTTGTTGACCTCTTCTGTTGTCCTTGGTCACGCCTCCTGTTTGTTGACCTCTTCTGTTGTCCTGGGTCACGTGTCCTGTTTGTTGACCTCTTCTGTTGTCCTTGGTCACGTGTCCTGTTTGTTGACCTCTTCTGTTGTCCTGGGGTCACGTGTCCTGTAGCCCACCACTAGTGTCCCGGGGTCACTGCACTTCCTAGTTGCTAACCTAACCTGCTGTTCTTGGATCAAGCGGTCTGTTGTTGCCTGCGGTGTGTTCGGGTCACGTGATCTATATGTTTACGCTGTTGAGGTCTCTCCAGCAACCAGAGAAGCAATATTCTCTCTCTCTCTCTCCTCACCCACCTCTTACTGTATACATTATGCATTATATGTATGTATTATAACTGTGTATACATTATAACTTTGCATGTACAAAATTGCTTTTGTTTACCATCATTAGTTATGCTAGCGAAAGAAAATAACATATTTCCTTAGGTATAAATATATGAGTTTCTAAATAATATATATTCACATTTTTTGCAGTTAAAAGTTCATCTATGCAATAAGATTTAAAAAAAAATATGATATGTAAATACTTAAATTTTGTTGTAGATATAAAGTCTGGTATGATTTGATGTACTGGAGAAAAATTACGAGAATTATAACCATGTAAATTATTTTTGTCTTATGTTGCTATGTTGACGAGAGCGTCGCTTATGTTATCATAGCTGTTAGTTGAGTCAGTCGAAATTACACACGTGAGGACTAAATTGCACACGTGAGGACTATATTGCACACGTGAGGACTATATTGCACACGTGAGGACTATATTGTACACGTGAGGACTATATTGCACACGTGAGGACTATATTGCACACGTGAGGACTATATTGCACACGTGAGGACTATATTGCACACGTGAGGACTATATTGCACACGTGAGGACTAAATTGCACACGTGAGGACTATATTGCACACGTGAGGACTAAATTGCACACGTGAGGACTAAATTGCACACGTGAGGACTATATTGCACACGTGAGGACTATATTGCACATGTGAGGACTATATTGCACACGTGAGGACTATATTGCACACGTGAGGACTATATTGCACACGTGAGGACTAAATTGCACACGTGAGGACTATATTGTACACGTGAGGAATAAATTATATTTAGGGTTTCTCGAGTGTTTATCAACACTGTATCACAACACCTTTGGTAACCACACGAATTTATAACCAACGTGAGTGTTCAATTACTTCACAGTAAATACTGAATTGCTTTATTCCTCTTTATCTAATTACTCCCTAGGCACAGTTTCATTTGACTTTACTTGACAATGAGTTAATTAGACGTTATAAACGTGACTCGGGTGTAAGATTTGTTTTAAAAACGCCATTGTTCTCACTACCATGGTGCTAGAGTTGTAATCAATCAATCAATCAAAGCAAATATGCCACCTGAGTGCAATAGATTAAAAAGAACCAGTCAGGAACAATTCCTAACACTACTTAATTACTCCTCATGGGTATCGAACCTAGAAACCATGAGCACAAATCAAGTGCTAACCATATATCCAAATTACGAACAAAGGGAACGTTACGCCAGTTGTTATTACTAAGTGTTATCCTCTGTGAACAACAGTAATTGGAGATCAGGATTTTGAGAGAAATCTCTCAAGGAAAAAACATGAAGATGAATTACCTGTTATCAACGTCAAGCTCGAGGCCTGAATGCAAGCATAACAGAAATTGCTCCAAGATTTAAGAAACTAGATTCCGTATTTGCAAGAAGCTACGTAACCAGGGATTGTTAGCTGTGACCCTTGGAGGTCATGGGTCGTGTCTGGATCTCTACCGACTCAACTAGTTGACAATGGTCGAGCCCAGGGTAGGGAGGTATTGGGCACTTACCATCTTGAGCACCTCCAAACAATCGTAAGATTAACCTGCTATAAAACATAGCAATATGCTTGCATACAAAAAAATTGTCAGGGGAAAACGCCAAGCCATTACGACTATATAGCACTGGGAAGGTGTCAGGATAAGGATCAGGGATGAGACGGTGGAGGAAGGAATAGTACCCAACCACTTTGACTGTCGGGGATTGAACGCCGACCTGCAAAAAGCGAGACTGACGCACGCAGAAATGGAACGTTCAGTAACCACACATCTGGGCACATAATCTGGCACAATATGTGACAGGTTGTGGCGCACATGTGGGTGCGTACATGCGTGAGTGCGCGCCTCGCAGAGTACACCACCAGCCACCGGACGCACGCACTCATTTTGTAAGTACCATTGATAGTGTGTCATTATATTACATACACTGCAAAGTTCCTTGAGTGCACATATATATGTGCACAGAATATATATATATATATATATATATATATATATATATATATATATATATATATATATATATATATATATATATATATATATATATATATATATATATATATATATATATATATATATATATATATATATATATATATATATATATATATATATATACACACGTATGTGAATAACAGTATATACGTCTCTTTTTAACGTAAGCCTTAGAAATTATATTAGCCTTCTGTAATATATATTTAACAGTTTAACAATAAGATAATTACACAGAGAGTAATCACACTACCGTCACTGTATCACTGAGAAAAGTATTTTCTATTTTTTCTAAAAAAATATCAAAATATTTTCTCATTGATGCAGTCACGTTAGA